TTCAGCAATGGATCAAGAGGTATTGCGGTTTCAAGAAATTGTCCATCGTGCGCTTTTCGGGATGTTTTTTGAAGCATACCATTTCTCCTCAAAAATGATTTTAAAAACGTTTTGGATAGAAAAATTTGACATTCTCGAAGCTATTCGTCTTATTGAAAAGGCGTGGTCAGAAATCACTCAACGACAGTTGGTTTCTGCCTGGAAAAAGCTATGTCCATCCCACTTTCAAGGAGATGTAGGTGATCAGGATGACACCCCTGAAATTATAGATGAAATTGGGTAAAAACTGCGAAAGATCTGGAATTGGAGGTGAACGAAGATGACATTGAAGAGCTCATAATGGAACATGAAGGTGACTTGACGGCAGAAGAACTCCAAGATTTACCTAACTTGCAGTTCTTCGGAGAACCAATTCCCTGGATTCCTACCTATAAGTAGCTAGGAGTGATACTTGATTCAAAATTAACTTGGCAACCTCACATTCAAAAAACAATGAATGAAGAACACCAAGAAACTCAGCGGATTGTGTTTCCTTCTGTAAAAGAGAAGACGAAAGAGGAGCAATGATCTGTGATTAAAGAGCTTTTGAAGAAGTGGGAGGATGTCAGAGCAACGGTCTTAAAATGACACCCAAACCAAGCTGATGTCAATAGGTTGCTGATCTCTACAAAGACATTGCTATCAATCATTTCCTGAAAGCCCTGCAGGAGAGAGAAAAACAATCGACATTGGACATGTTCTTAAAGGATTGATTAATAAGTAAGACTAAATGTATGTACTATATTGGTAATAAATAAACTTACTAAGAAATTATACTTGTACATAACATTTTTTTTTAATTTAATTTTTAGGATCTCCAGAACGAATTAATCGAATTCCAATTAACATATATGGTAAATCGGTGATCGGATAGCGAACATAATCTTGGAACATATTATGGTCGTTAACCGATCACCCACTGTATTCGTCAAAGTAGACTGCTTCCGAATTCTCAGACGTAATTCTGAGCAACCTGCTTACATGAGGCGCAGTCAGAGGAAGGTTAGGTACAGTATTCTGCTACAGGTTTTCATCGCTGTACTTATTTATTTATTATGCTTATTTTTCATCTTCCTCTCGCTACCACAGATTTTCCATTACAACTTGACGTAATCTTACATATATTGTCTGTCGAATAATGTTCTAGCATTAAGAAATTGGCAACGCTACGTATGGAAACATGATTTGAAATGTGAGCATGGATCTGCGAAAGAAAATTGTGGAGCGTTTTAAAAGCGTTTGGAGACCAAAAGGAAGAGCAGTAATTTCGAAAAATATTTGTTTAGCATGTTTTGATAAAGGTCCAAGACCTTTGTTTCGCTTTCCAAATAATCGGACACGGTAAGATGTTATGAACTAGATGATATTTGTTTTGTATAGGAATATTGGCTTTCCTTGAATTTAAATGTTGCTTTGATATGGGAGTTTGGGGAAGTTTCAATGGTAGCTATTCAGTATCAGTGGAAAAACAAATTCTTGTAACTTTCATGGTTAAAGAGGCAGAATTTCGAAGCTTCTGAATAAAATTACTGATCAGATTTGATGTTGGCTACAAAAATAATAATGATCTTACAAATTTAAATATCAATTATTTAACTCAGAAAGGTGCATATTATTGTAGGTAATACCTTAAGTTATTGTTTCACAAATTTACTTATGGTATCTCGGTATATTTTGATTAAAACACCTAGCAAACGTACACCTTTGTAATATTTTTATGTTGAGAAATAGATGTTTTTTTTTTTTACTAAGCAATCTCAATGAATAGTTAAAGAATTTTGGGTAAACAGATAATCTACAAACGTAATTGTTAGGGCAGTTTTCAGTTTCAGTGCTTATTAGCTAAAATCCCGATTGGAATTTTCTGGAAAATGTCACATTACATGTCTCATGATCTCTCATTTCTCTGAGACAAAATAATCTGTGATTCGAACTGTGTACTTCTCAGATTATTGCTAGTAACCTTTATCATCTTACCAGAATGTCACCAAACTACCTGTTACCATATTCCAAAGATTAGCCAAAAATAACATGCTTGAATCTTAGATAATCTTGTATATTTTAACATGATTTGTTGAACATAATTTTACTTGAAATACAGTACAAAGTCCTTAATCCGGACTCGTCGGGACTTCAGCAATTCCGGATTAGGGGTTTTTTTCTATATACATCATGTTTAATCTTGTTAAGATGGCATGCAGAAATTATACAATTAAAAATATGAAATCGTAATTTATGAAGGTACTATTCCGTTTTGAGTAGCGTAAAAAAATTGCAGCGAAAATGTATGCGCAAAATCTAGCAAACACGCCCATTTAACAGCGTGCAAAGCGTACGCACTGATTTCAGATTGCTTAAATTTATATAGTTCTATATTTCTTAAGATGCCATTGAAATGCTAGTTTAATTTTTAAATCCTTTTTTGATTATAAATCCTTTTTTGGTATCCTATAGATTTAACAATTTGGAAATTGCCCATGACGAAAAGTGTGCAGTAGAATTTTGGGTAAAGTGCAGAATCACCCACTGCTTGATGCGTTTTTAAGAATTACACATACTCGAAATCCATGTACACATCAACCTATTTTCACTTAAAAAAGAAAATCCCAGAATTGCACAAAGATTGCACTGTGCACACCCTTGACTTTATTTATGTACACATCGACCTATTTTCACTTAAGTAAAAGAAAATTGATAAATAAATAAACAAATAAGTGGGCGATTCTGCACTTTTCTGAGAATTTTTTTCAAAAAAAGGCATCATTGATTAAAGAGAATTGTGAATGAAACTATGCTTTAGCAATAACTCGGTAGCGAAGCAGACTACCATTCAGTTATGTTTAGCAATTTTTATGTAAATTATAATAATGATCTGAAATAATTATTTACTCTTATACTTCCATGCAGTCATGTTTAGCCTTATGTAAATTATAATAATGAAAAGTATTGTATGAAATTAACCTTCCATCTAAATCAAAACATCATTCTTCGATATTTATTTACTATTATACTTCCTTTCTTGTGTTAGGGTTGCTGCAATTATTTTCGGTAGCACTGGCATCAACAATAGTTTGGCGATTTTTTTGTGGCCCTCAAAACGAATACAGTCAAAAGTCATTAATCCAGACGTCCATAATCCGGACCTCAAAGCTACAAACTTTCTGCATAATACCATTACGCATGCGCGTAATACGTTTATGCATGCGCGTTTAATGTATAATGGACAGTATAAGCTAAGCTAAAAATATCTAATTATCTATTTCAGTTAATGTTGCAGATTGCGTTGTTCCTTAATCTTCTAATTGGATCTGGCTTATTATTTTTTGCAGACAGTTAGAGCAATTTTATAAAAGTAAGCTTGAACTTTCGATTATGTCAAAAAGAATTTCTGATTCTGGAGTTGCCAAAGGATCTACAAAGCGAAAGCATGTTTCGATGTCCATCAAACAAAAAGTGGAACTGTTGCAAAAAATGGATAATAATCATTTGTTTCTCTAACCATTCCAAAATCTGTTTATCAATTTCACGCTGCTCTGCGGGGGGGAGGGGACGTCGCGGCACGCAATAAACTGGAAGTTGATCTGTCAGCACTATCCTTATCTTCATAGCAGATGTTTTTATTTTATTCGACTTATAATTCCTTACTAAATGTAGTATTTCATCTCGATGTACTCTGTCTTTAATATGATTTAAATCAAATTCCTCGTCATTATAAATATCACGAATACACGTCAAATAGTTGTCTGGTTGCAATTTTCTAATTTCGACTATGCGTAATGTATGCTTTACGCATGCGCGCGTTGAAGGAAATGTTGGTTGATCTTTACATTATGGTAACTTGGCGTATTTTTGGCGAAAATTTGGCGACCAACTCTCCTACAGCAACCCTCTATTTTTTTTTCCGCCGCCATTTTGTCTTCATGAAGTAAAGACATGTTTCTTTTCTTTTATCTATGAACACTTCTTCCAACAATCTACTAGCCGAATTACACTTAGGCTAGAAATTTATCTAACAAACTGCTTAATCATGACAAATATTCACTGCAAAATTGGGAAAAAGTGCACAATACCAACTCCTTATGCGTTTTCAAAATAACACATACACATAAACCATGTTACACACCGACTTATTTTACTTAAAAAAAATCCCAGAATGCACAAAAATGGCATTGCTCACACTCTTCACTATATCCATGTACACTGCTTTTTTCTCATAAATTAGAAAAATTTTCACGAAAATACATGACAATTTTTCAATCTTTAAACCCGGTAAAAAAAACATATATGAAATTACCTGATCGCGAAAAAAGTATTTACCCTTTCCAAATATGAACATTTCCACATATAAAATAAATAAAATATATCCAAAAAAACTTTTACCTCTAAATCATCTATTACATTATACACATCACCAACGAATTCATACCGCAACCATTACAAATACTTAGTGTCAGATATTTAAATTATTTCCATGCACGTTTTCTTCAACTAAAACATATACCAAATTCCTACAAACATAAAATTCACAAAATAACTATATCATTTAATTAAAATATAATTAAAAATTCAAAAACTACTACTTAAAATATAAATGAGCACATACATTAAATTAATACATACATAAATACCCATTTCGAATTCACTTTAGTTACGGCCATGGGATCCAAAAATTCACGAACACTGTTTCACACAACACAATAAAGCCAAATACAAAACTTCCAGATTTTTACCCGATATTCCCCCTTTTCCGATTAAAGAACCGTAATTCGTCCATTAATATCACATGACATATCCCATGATCTCTCATTTCCCTCACACAAAATAATGCGTAATCGGAACTGAGTACTGCTCACATTATTACCAAAGTCCCAGGTAGTAACCTTTATCGCCTCCAAAATGTCGCCAAACTACCAGTTACCATATTGTAAAGATCAACCGAAATGTTTAATAAAGTAAACAAATAAATATTAAGCTTTTTTTTTTATATAAATTTTTGATACCCTTTAGATCATAACTGCTCTTTATTTCATAAATTACGGTTTCATATTTTTAATTTTATAATTTCTGCATGCCATCTTACCTGATTTAAACTGATGATCTATAATCCGGAAAAATCGATAATCCGAAATCGCCGAAGTCCCGACGAGTTCAGATTATAGACTTTTGACTGTAGTACCTTTTTGAAATAAAGAGCAATTATGATCTAAAAGGTATCAAAATTTACCAAAAAAAAAAAAAAAAAACTTAGTATTTATTTGTTTACTTTAGTAAACATTTCTATCAATGTAAGTTGTTTAAGTTGCTTCGTTTTTTGTGCTAATACTTTCTCTTTAATTCTATAAACAGACATAATTTCTTGTTCAGTTACAAAGTTCCACTGTTCAAGTCCTGTAATTGCTGTGTCGAGAATACCGACTAACTTGTCAATCAAAATTATTTCGTTTTCAATAACGTTCTCTGTTACTTTCTTCACTATCGGAAGCATGCATGGGTAAACGCTTTACGGGCATGCTTGCATCAAACGCCCATGCATAAGTTTGTGGCTTTGAGGTCCGGATAATGGACGTCCAGATAAGAGACTTTGTACTGTGTAATAGTCGATCCCTGCTATAATGAACTTCAAGGGACCAAAAGTTTGATTCACTTTATCCGAGTTGATAAAAAAAATGTAATTATCTTGCAAAATTATAAAAAGTGTTTTTAAATTTGTATGAAAACAAATAAAAAATGAATTTATGTTAAAATTTTACTTAACGGATGGGTCACGTAAATGTATGTGTTTCCATTGTGACTTCCTTGGACAGTCCATGTAAGTTTACATTTTTGTTTGAATTTTTAGTATACTGCATTAGTATTTCATTTTATGCACACTGTATTACTTTTTCTTGCTAGCATTAGTTGTAGTATTGTCTGTCTGTTGATTCTACTGTGTGGTTTTGCTTTTTAGGTAGTATTTTTAAGTAATTTCATAACTTTTAAAATGGCAAGCACAAAAGTGTTTTATGTGGAAGATGCAGAAATCTGTAAAAAAATCTAGCAGATAAGTTATCTGGTGTGGGAAGTGATATAATGAATCAGAAAACTGTTAATGAAATAAAATATATGTGCTAATTCTGTCTGGTTTCACTTCAAAAGGAGGAAGGTTTTACAAAATATCACACTCGTAAAAAAATATTACACATATTAATAAATAACATTGTAAAATATTATAAGAAATGATGTTGATTTAATTAAGTGGTTAAGCTGACGGTAACAAGGTTTAACTTTTGGGGTCGTAAGTTCGAATCCCATATGCTTTTTCCAACCTGTCTGCAACTTTCTTAGCTTCTTGTTCCAATTTG